TTTTGAACATTCTGACAGTTTTCCCTGGTTCCCACAAACTGTTACATTGTTGGTAATATAATAATAAATGCCATTTTTTAGGTTTGACATTACTTGATGATCGATTTGAAAAAGTAATGGAGGAATAYGATGAAGACGAGATTGGTGCCTTAGACCATGAAGAAATGACTGGTACTGTTGACCCTGATAGTCAGATATTGAATGCTTTGGCTGAAGATTTTGAGCATCATGTGCCAAAAGTGCAGTAAGTACTTGTGGGATCCCTGTGGTCCGCAAGTTGGGGTTCCTGTGGTACAACACAGGAAACCCAACAAAATGTATTGGTTTGTTTAGTTTTGCAGATGTAGATGGAACAAAACAGGACAAAGCAAAGACTTCTAGACAAGCAAAGAACAAAAGCAGTAGTGAAGATGACAGCGATGACGATGAGGACATCATGAGGATAGATGTTACTCCAAAAGAACAGTGGGATTGTGAATCTATTTTAAGTACGTACAGTACATGCACTGAAGAAGATCTAAGAGCAGATCAAAATGTCTGAATAAAAAACTAAGCTAGAAACAACTACATATATATGTTTCAACGTACAGTACATATTCAACTAGACTTTCAACTTTAAAGTGCTACTTGCATGAAAATGCCCTTATTTCAAAACTTCAAAAAATTCAAATATATGACTCATTTATATGTATTAAAAACAATTTTGAGAAAGTATTTGTTTTGGAATCATCCCACATCAGAGAAATTTTGATTCAAAAGATGGCAGAACAAAAGGATTGAGTAAATGACGTCATTTACTCCAACATTTTTTGCTCAAATTATTAAGGATTTGAATGAATATCTTCTTGAAATCTGTTGCTTCATGATTATCAGACCAATATGGATAGGTCTATTTGATTTCCAAGTCTTTTCTAAGGTTTCGCAATTTTCGTCAAAGTAAAGACTTCGGAGAAACGTCTGTCTTCTTTAAAATGGTCATTTCATAAGTGTCTTATTTGATGAAATGCTGTATTTTGTTTGTTTTCAGGTACATATTCTAACCTATACAACCATCCAACTCTCATAAAAGAAGCCCCTAAGGTAACAAGCACAAAGTAATAATGCGCAACATTTGAAATGTTAATTATGAACATTTCCAATGATACTTAGACTTTTCAACTCCTGGACATTGGAGTCCAAACCTGGAGATCTGCAAAAATGTCATTCAAATCAAGAGCATAGTAACAACCTCTTTATATTTGATTTGACAATCCCAAGTTGTAACAAAAAATGATAGTGATAGAGAGGGAGTACCTACAGGAAAAACATCGTACTGAATACATAGTGACATACCAAATATCCTATTTTGCATCGATTTCCCTAAGTAAGAGGTGCTTAGTCATGCAGGTTCAAAATTCATTAGAGTGAATTATTGGCTAATAACTTACTCCATTTTTCAGAACAAGTCTATAAAGCTCTCGACCAAGACAGGGATCCCATTAGGTGTAATTCCAGGAAAGACATCAGCCAAAAACAACAAYTGTTCAGAAGAYATGGATGTAGACATTGCTAAACAATGYACTGGTCCAAGACCCAAGCATGAAGATAAAGACGACAAAGCGCTGAGAAAACGTGCAGTGAAAGAACAGAGAAGGGTATGTATTGCTGTCACTTGAACAGCATCAYTWATCTTGACACCATTAAAAATCCTCTATTACATTACACATTATTTGGAGTTAATGTCATTTTGAAGATGCAGGATTTTCTATTTCTTTCTGTGAACCCTTATCTGACCTTCACTGTACCTCAAGAAACTAAACCCATCTACATCTAGACACAGRTGCATGACTGAAATGTCTGCAGCCATATCTGCGCAATATTGAAATGTGAGTAGGGGAGTTTATCATACCTTTATGTTTTGCAGGCAAGACGTGTTGAAAAGAAGTCAAACAAACTGACATTCAAGGCAGAGCAAAAAAGACAAGAACAATCTTTAATGAACACCAAGCATCARCAAGGACAGAAACTTTAGTAAAGCAAACAAATATGGGGTCATTCCACATGTYARGATTGTAAATGACACTTTGTAAATTCTTTTTAAAAGGGCAAGTGTAAATTTTCCATGCTGCAGTTCTTCCTGAAACAAARTCTTGTCCCGTTTTTTATGTACAGGTCAACACTCCTTTTAGACAGGATTTGGTTGTCATGTCGTATTCCTGTTAATACAGACTTCCAGTTGATAACATTCAATTAAAGTCAATATAATTTCTGTGAAGCTGAAGAACAATAATAGCAAAGACACTTTTTAACAACAAAATATATACAACAATCTTTATTATTTTGTACAATAGCTTCAAATCTTGCTATAAATTTATATTATTGCTTGAATATAGCTCATAGCAAAGGAGTTTTTTTAAGTTGCCTTTTGTTTGGTTCTCCCTAATAATCTTCAGAGTGGAGTTTTGTTTGTTGGCTGGGAAAGGAGTATACCTTTCCTGATAAATACTGTGTTATAATGATTTTCAATGGAGATACATATTTGCATAAATTTAAATTATATTTCTCTCCTGTCTTTCATCACTACAATACATCTTCTAAGTGATGTGTAGAGATGGGGCAAAACCATCAATATATGAAGTTCCTTCACCGTCTTTTGTTGTCTTTGATCACTACGACATATCTTTGAGGGACRTGTAGTGGTGGGGCAAAACCATCAGCATATGAAGTGTCTTCAAACGATACAAGATAGTCATCTTGTGGCTGACAAAGAAAAAAAAAACAAAGTTCATATAAATAAATATCATGAATATGAAGATAAGAACAACAACAAATGTACCCTGGAYGGAGGTTCGTGGATAACAGCTTTGTAGAAACATGTTGTTTGTGGATACAGAGCCATAACAACCTGGGAATATAAATATATATACATGAAGTTTAAAGCCTTAGTCTATGTACTGTTCAGAATTTTGGTTTGATGATAGACATGGATCACAAGAAATAAAAACAATGATTATCCATAAAATACCTGATCCTTTTGGAACAAAGCACTAGGGTGTGTCAGAGGATTTGCCTTTTGTTTTGGTAGAGGTATTACTCTGCGTCGACTAAGGTGATGACGTCTACATCAAATAATCCATAAAATTTATACATTATAACATAATAATTAATCAAACCAAAACAAGTATTTCTCACTCTTTGCCATTCTTCCCTTCTTCATCTATATCATCAACATCATATCTGCAGTCAGTTAAGGAAAACTCTAATAAGCTTATTTTTAACATAGCAAATTTCATTTGTCCAATTGATATTTCCACTGTATAATAAGACTTTGTTTACTGTGATAAGGATACTTATTGGATGATGAATTGTATGAAACAATTTCAGCTAATATCCACTGTTCTTCACCATCGGAAGTCTTAACACGGGCAGCAACCTGAAAGAGAGAATACTCAAGTCACTAATTATGCACTTGTAATTGGTGTATAAGCGTTAGAATAGTCTGCAGATCAGCTGCTCATATACTTAACAATTAGACTTCAAGGTTAAGTGGACTAGGACTTGATTGTATGAACTATAAACTATAAGTTCTTTAAGTTCTTTTGCATTGAAACAGTCACATAGTACTAAATCCACCATGCTGGACATCAAAAATACCCACTGGGATGTTCAAAACAAAGAAAAGTCAAGCTTGACGGCTATGTTCCTTTTGTTTYTGAGATTGTTTACWTTCTTTTACCATCCAGATTGGTGGAATTAGTACTATGTGACCATTTTATGCAAAAGGCTTACTCACAAGACCAGGAGCCAAAACAATGCTTTGCTTTACAAGAGTTTATTTATCTAGTAATATTAAAATAGAAGGTCACTTGTCTTACGTGATCTCCTGGATGGGCAACATAGTTATTTTCAGCTTGAATTGCACCACAAAGTGGAGGTGGACTAAGGAGAAAAATGGTTGAAATATGACCATAACAAATCATTTAATACAGTGATATATAGGTACTATAGTGTATTATATAGTATATGATTACCTTTCTGATGACTTGCCTATCATCATTGGTAACTGGGAAGCTGCTTGCTGTAACATTGTCATTAGAACTCCACGTCGCATTGCTTTCCTAAATTTGTTAATAAATAATACTGGAAATGACTTGCTATAAATTACACAAAAATTCTCATATTTTATTCGTAATTTCTTGATTTCTTATTTTAGTCTTTTTCCATATTTTGAATATATTTATTTTTGAATATTTTTGCATTTATTTTTCTTCTCAAACTTCATTCAATCCATTTTAGTATAAAACTTTCTTATCTTTAAGTCTTAATTTTTGCTTAGTATTCAATTAAATTGTATGATCAAATTGGAAGGAGAAAGGTCCCAAAACAATAGAAATGACTAACATACATAAAAAGTTTCATTCCGACATATCCTATTGCTCTGACTACTCACCTTGGTTCACCAGACTCTTGGCTTCTACTGACTCCACTTCTCCCTGCATAGAAATACTTTTATCTTAAAAGTAGTTTCTTACTAAGTTCATTCAAAGTAATTATCAGAACAAAATTAATCATGATTCCAAAGTAGCTGCAATGTAATATACAGTAGAGTGATCGTACTTATCCGTGCAACTGTACAAACTAAATAGTGATGTTTAGGTGTATTTAGTGAATCATGAATGCGATACGCAAATTAAATTGAATCGTTACAAATGAAGCATTCAATATCGTCTTGCTTCAGGTCCACTTTTAGTACAAATAAGTATTACTTAGATTTTGTACAGTTGCACGGATTCAGTGCGTTCACTCTAATAGCTAGCCTATCAAAACTATTTTCAATGAACCAAAAGCTAACTGAAGTAAAACAACAACAACGAAATTATATTTGATAAAAACAAGAAATACATGCTAGATTCTTGCAATGCGCTACTGACCTATTCTCCTGTCATTCCTCAAAGCTTTGATAATAGCAATCTTGTCCAAGGCCTTCCTGATAATACTGTTAATAATATTAAATAATAATTATTAACCCTAGCCGAGAATTTTCATTTGGTAGGGAAATAAAGCAAAAAAGGAAAATAATCATATCTTGCTCCGCAGTCCCTGTATCAAGTWGTGGAAGCAACACTTGTCAATACATACTCTGCTTCAGCTTGAGCATCTGAGGTTGCAGTTTTGTATAATCCTCTTAGTTTTGTCTTGAAGTATGAAGAAACTGTAAGTAAATAGGATCTTCAGATACAAAATAATTAATACGTAAACACAAAACCAATGAGTACAATCAATTTTAATACATCCCTCCCAGAAGAAAAATGATACAACTGTAGATTTATGGATTGCTTCACAAAAAGACTGGATCAGAGGTATCAAAAGTAGTTTTCTCTGTTAAGGTAACTTGAAAAAAATCTGAGACTTTTGGTTTGGGGGCTTTTTCTCTGTTCTGATAATCTTGCCAGAGTAAGAACTTGTACAGAGARATTTTTTCCCTGCATTTTACATTCCCCTCTCCCTCTATACAGCTCTTTTCAAGGGCGAAAGAAGATTTGTGTAAGTTAAGATCGCCGGAGTACCTTTTCCTTCTGACTTCATCTTCTCGTGGGTCTTTTCGATATTACTTATATTATGCTCACTTCTGTTTCTTTCTTCCTAAAAGAAATTTCAAGCCAAGATATAAACAACTTGGAGAGCATATTATGCTCTCCAAATATTCCCTTATTGTAAGTTTAATTAATATATTTATAACTACGATTATACAGTTAACACAGCATAATGTCATTGTGGTAATCGTGATAATAGAAACATGAAAATAATTCCTTTTACTTATGAATTTGATAATGATTGTCACTATGACTATTTGGCAGGAGGGGGGTGGGAAGGGGGTTGGTTTAAACGTGACATATACTTTATGATTATGTTTTGGGTTATGATTATGCACCAGGTTTTATCATTTCCTTTTAAATGATCTACAAAATTGAATTTCTGCAATGCCAATAAAAAGTTACTTTATGTTTTCYTTCAGTTTTACCTGAATTTGTTGTACCAAAGAATGAAGTTCTTTCAGGAGCGAAGGAACCGTGTTGTTGTTACTGGAATTTGCTGAGCTTGAAGAAGAACTTGTTCCACCGGAACCAGAACTCGAACTAGTCGAAGTGGTGTTAGATGGGCCCCTAGAACGACGCATTTTGTATTTTCTGTATAATCTTTATTCGTCGGCCATTTTCTTTAGTGAGCTCGGTAAGTGATCGTGTGTGTTACGAACWCGCGATAAATTACGACGTGATGACGGAAATTTCCGAATAAGCGTTCGGGTTGACGATCCCTTCCCCAGATTCCCCAGTCTCCCGGTTGTCAYTTATTCTGGTTCTCAGTTTGATGACAGACACAAGAGTGGGAAATATGATCTTCGCTCCTGGGTTATTCTTAATTGGAGCATTCTTGTTCCCGGTCAGCCACATATTGATTACATTCTTWCTAAAGTTTGTCTTGAAAGATCTAAAATATGTGGACCGATTCAGCATCAGTACAAGGTTTGTTTTGGATTTGAATTGAAAGCGTCATGCAGCAMTTTCCGCGAGCCATGGAAYAGTTCTTGTGTTTTCACTAATAATTAAACTGGAGTCTACTGACTATCCTTTAGRATTGTTTCTGGTTTACAAGCCATTGCTGCTGCAGTTGTTGGTCTCTTAGGTGCTATTTCTTGCGAGGACATCATGAAGGACAGGTAATTCAAAGTTTCTTGACAATTTGAGTTTCTGGCTGGTTTAAGCTTAACTTGACTGTGAGTTGTCACTAGAGCTATGTCGATATCTTCATGTGCAAGCTTTCAATGCAAACATTTCGTAATTGGCAAGTTTTTTATTGAGTATTCAATTCGTTGATTGAAGTTTATGGAATTTACTAATAACTTACCGAGAAAATATTTTCGGTTCTTTATTTTTTTGACAGGTGTTTCAAACATTCCCATTCATATAACGAAGCGTATACTACTAGTCGAAACAAAAATCAATTCCGACGCTGCCTTTGTTTGCTTTGTTCTGCTATTTCCCACGCTGTTTGCATTTACTTTTCTTCGTTTTGGCTCAGAATTATTTTTCGGTAACTTGAAATATGATTCGCGTTTGATGGTAGCTTCTAGAAAGACGCAGGGTAAATACTTAGTAGGACCCAAAAGTGACATTTACATTAAGGAGATTATGGCTGATGACTTTCTCTAAGCTCAAATCAGTTAATCGTTGATTTGATTACCCCTCTCCATTAAGCGCAAATGTCCATGAATAATCGCTTGTAAAATAAAAAGTGGCTACAAATTTCAAATATATTTTTGTCACATAACTAAGTGCATCAGGAAATGAAGTCGGTGCTTTGCATTATTGAAAGAAATCTCCCCAGATTTCAGAAATGCGCGAATCTGCGTTTATGAGACAAATGCAAATGAACTCCGAAATGCAGCTCTTCAATATTTAAACTGCAATGTTTGGATACCGGCAAATATTTAATCAAATGTAATAGAAATTAGTCCGAAAATCTCATCAGCCGTGATAGTGCCGCCACATTTCTTTTTTTCCCTTTTTTTCCTCTCTCTCTTTTTAAATATCTTGAGACATTCCATAATGAAGAGTTCTTAATGTTTTTTTTTTAGTTTTGGGCTTTCTTTAGACAGCTGGTTGTGGGGGGTGACATTGTTTAAATTTCTTTTAGTGAATCCATTGATAAGATTATACCACCTAGAAATCCCCAAAGGTTTTCCTTACAGCCACAGGGTAGTTGAAGTTTGAGTTACAGAATAAATGTATCTCTGTACATTAGCACTAATTATTGAAAGGAATTTCTCACTGTGTTTGGATAATAGAAAAGGCACTTCCTGTGAATATTGTTATGATTAAAAAAACTTATGTCTTGTTATCCCGCTTTATTTTTCTTTTCTTTTCATTTCAATGTAAAGTAGGTATGAGTTGAGTAGCAATTATACAGAACTATTTCGGTTTTCTGACAAGTATATTCTATATTATTAATTTTACATGTAATATACTTTTCAAAGGAGTCTATAAAAAGGAAGTTTGATTATTTTAAACCTGATCAAAGTAACCTTTCAATGCTGTCATCTTCTAGGATATCATAGAAACACTATTTTCAAATCCCAAACCCTTTTTTTCTGCTTCATAACTCTATTTCATTTTCACATTTCTTTAAGTTTGAAAACATGTTTGATATTCAGGATTGTGGTGGATTGTTTGTTTTGTGGTTTGACTGTAGTATTGTTGATATCCATACAAGARCACTCATAAACAGTCAGTTAAAAAGTAAACTCCACTTGAATCTTAAAGGCCCACTTACATCCAAGAATCATTGTGATCCTTTGTTTTGTTTTGAAAACATTTAAATATTTGTTTTTGAAATTTGCTTTCTGATTGCTTCAAAACCTATACAACTAGCACACATGAAAATAATCTACAAACAATTATCAAGGAAAGAGTTAAAACAGAACAAGATGGAAACAAATTAAAACTGAATTTCCATTCTAACAACCCTCCAAGATGACCATAAACATTTGCCATATGTGTGAAAACTGTACAAAGGTTCTCAGACACAATTCTACAGCCAATATAATAATAAATAATTATGGCAATGTTCTTTATGTAGTGGGGGGTTTGAGTGAAGGTATGCAGTATTAATATCTTTTGTGGATTGTACCAATTAGCAAGTTTTTTCCTGTAAAGTTTTCATTCTCGAAAATATTTCCTATCAAGTTCTTATTGATGTTCTAAAGTTGTATTTCCTAATCCTTATTTGGTCCCAATTTTGTTTCAATTTTTTCTGAAAGGATTATCAAAGCTTAGCCGTTTTTGGGACTGGCTGCTTGASAATGTTTRTGTTYGCCAATACATAAAACTATCAAATAGATGATAGAATATACAGTCATATTATATTACTCTAACTTATGCTTTCAGGATTCCTGCCATCACAGATTACCTATGTTTTGGATTGACGTATTTCTACTATGACACTGTTGTTATGTACTGTGCTGTGTATATGAAAGAAAAAGCCAAAAATCCTAACATAGGTCATATATCAGCCTTCAAAATTTTCTGTCAAAAAAAGAATTTGATTATTTTTCATCACATATTTCTTCCCATAATTGGATTTCCTATATCAAATGTAAGTACAAAGTGATAAAAGCAGAAATTATTAATTGAAAGGGAACTTGAAGTTCTTTTGATTACTACATCGCATGCAACCCGAAGTTGGTTACCAACTTCCCAAGAAAGCAGCATTTCCCTTTCATGATGATTTTGAAATTTGATATTTTTGAAAGTATGCATTTGATGTGATGATGACAGAAAATGGGACATTTTGGTTCAAAGTATGCAGATGTATGATGTGACCCATTTGTCAACAGCCTTATTGGACCAAGAGATTCTGAATTGTTAACAATCAAATTCTAGAAGTGTTATTTTTTTTTGTTTTTCCATCTCATTATTTTTTCAATATTTATCTTTATATTCCCAGTTCTCATGGATACGTAAAGATCGAGGAGATTTCTTCATTGCTTGCTTGTTTATGTCAGAGTTTAGTACACCATTCCTTTCTTTGAGAGCAATACTTGCCAAGGTAATACACTTGTGTAGAGAATTTTATGGTTTTTGTTAGCGCTCTGAAAGCACCTTGAAAGGTAGCCATGCATAAAAGCAAACAGTTACCAATTACACTTAAGAATGATCACTATCCTATGAGAAATGACTTTGTCTGCCAATGAAATGGTTTCCAGAATCCCTGGAACACCACCTGCAGATAATTACATGCCATCTTTATATCTGACAAGACACATTGGTATAAAATTTCTGTAATATGATTTTGCTGCACACTTCTAGCAAATGAGTAGGTAGATTGAATTAATAAAATGTATAAATTTACTTTTCTCTTTTTTATTGACAGCTTGGCAAGAAAAATACTCTAATCTATGCCATTAATGGCTTTATGTTGGCTTTGGTCTTCTTTAYTTTCCGTGTTCTGGTTTACCCTTACTTATACTGGAAATACGCACACTACAGTAATCTAAGCTACTTTCAAGTCCCATTTTCAATCCCATTCTGTTGTAACTTTGCTTGTTTACTACTTATGAGTTTACAACTCAATTGGTCTTATATCATCCTTAAAGGATGCGTCAAATACCTTCACAATGCACCAAAAAAAGAAGACACTTCAAATGGGAAAGTTCTTTCTCACAGCACTGAAAATGGACAACCAAATCATCATATAAATGAAGTATCTGAAGACATCCATTTTAAACAACATTAAGATTGATTATTAGTACAAATTGAAATTTGAAGCAATCAATGCCCAATTCATGACTGATTGATGTAGTGTTAATAAACACTAATGGGACACAATACTTTATTGGATGGAGTTTCTGAAAGAACACAAGTACTTGGCTCTAAATTCCTGATATGCAAAGAGCGTGAACATAAATACATTTTTATAGCTTATGCAATTTCTTTGCTGCTTTGAAAGAYGTTGCAATGAGCTGCATGGTTTTGGATATGAACTCTTCTATTGATGTTTTCAATTTATGGTATCTATTTATTATATTGACATATTTTAATAATTTTTATTTATGAATTATACAAACAAAAGGTATGGTTATGACAATTGTCAAAATGTGTAAAAACATGTGTTCAGAAATTATTAATATATATTATCAATTGTACAGGACTTTTCATGTTTAACAGTGAAAATGAATGCCTTAATTAATGTACAGAATTTAATAAGGTCATTTTGAATATTGATACATTTATTGACAATTTATACATATATTTATATTAAGTGCTTAGAATTATTGAAACAATTGTACAAAATTCAATTTTTTACTATAATTTTTACTCTATTTATTTTCTAAGGATCATGATGATCTTGTCTTTGTTGTTGGAGTAGGAAAAACTCTGAGATTATGGTAAAATTGCAAGCTAAGATAGCACTAAGATCGCATAATATTACTTATAACTATGACAATTATCTTTCAAGATATGCAGTAATTTCTCCCTACTCGACTTTAAAAGGTAGCTGTGCATGAAAGAAAGACGACTGGTGACAGTGCAATTATAGATACYTTTTGGGGTGTACACTACTGTTAGAACAAAGATTATGATTTGATGAAATAACAAAGAGAGGCAGGCAATAGAAAAAACGAAAATGTCCGGTAGAACAATAGACATAGTTTGATATAACCCTACAATTCTTTGTTGTTGTCTTGATCAATCACAAGCTTCATTCTGACAGTAGTGGTCAACCCACTTGTTCACCATTGCCTATATGCAATAATTCAGAGCCTGATCTATTCTTGCACTGCAATTTCACTAGGTGTCTCACATAGCAAAGTGTAGATATACAGCTTTTAGATTTTAATGTTGCAGGAACTATAAATTAAAGGAGACTTGTAAAAACTAACTGTTGAGTGACACTGAGAACTGTCAGATTTAAAGTTTCTAACAAGTTTTAAAATATTTGATTTGCATCTTTTCGACAACTCTAATGCAGAGCTACAATTCTAAAGTTAAATATTTTGATTGAATAAGGTTTATTTGCTGTGGTCAAAGAATAAAAATATTAAGCAGTTCTTTTGAATCTTAGTTGTTTATGTATATTTTATGATCCCTATGAATCAGAGAATCTATTTTGTTGTTTATAACAAATTATAACAACTAGTACTCTGCTGACTTGGGAGGTTTCTACATTCAGGATGTCAAAGTGTTTTGTACATTTTATGATACTGATTTTTCATTCATCAGTATTGGTTCTGTAAGAAGCTATTGAACCCTGGCTGCATAACAAAGTCAAGCCCATAATATTCATCATCGAAGTAGTTTTGATTGCAATTTCAAATAGTAGTAGTGTTCTCACTAATATTTTATTCATTGTATTTAACAAGAGTAAAGACTATAGTGCTGTCTATTTTGATCTGTTTATGTCTATTGCATCAAAGTAGAGCCAACRCAGCTTGCATTCATGTTTTATTTTAGTCGTGCTGCTGATGGTGAGGGAGTACATTTTATAATTTTGAAGTGCAATTTTATTGACTAAATCAAACATTTCATAGCCTTGAGGACAATGCAATAAATAGAAATTACTATAAAGTGAAATATTTGTTACAAATATTATGCTTTTTTATAACACACTATCAAATTAACACAAATCAGAGTACAAAAAAAAACTTTTAGTATAATTCAAAAATATTCCTATTGATTTAATATTTTAGTTTTACTTTTTAAACAGTTCCAATGTAAATACATTGTGTGTAATATCTTGTATTTTGCAATGTGGAAATCAGACATTTTGAGTGCAGGATATAATATAACTAGATCTGTACTTTTTCAAGAGAATTTGATTTTGGTATTAAAAACTCTTCAACAAAATGAACAAATACAACAGTATTAACCTAAAATTTGCTTTAAAAAATCCTATTTATAGCAAACCACAACTCTTAGCTGTAAGTTTTGAAGAATTTGTTTACTGTAAAACAGAAAAAGAAGCAGTAAAAAGAAATAACGAACACAAGTAGACTAAATAATTATACAATTTATATTCTGAAAACCTATTATTTTTCCACATATCAAATTCTAAAGTCTACACAAACAAAACAATGTAGGTAGAAAAACTCCAATAGCCACACAAATAGGGATTAGCATACTGCTATCATCATTTGCATATGGGTCAATTGATTTTGGGCCTGATGTTTTCCTGGGTTTTTTGGGTTGGTCAGATTTCTGGCTTTCCTCAGAATCCTCTTTTTCATCTTCTTCATCCTGAGGGCTGGGAAGTGCTGGTAGCTTTGGAACATCTGAGATGAGAAGTGGAGTATGTATTGTTATATTATCTTATTTACAGCAATATGCAGAAATTATGATCTTTTTGACATATTGTTGTTTATATTAAATGAATCAGAAATCATGGGATATCATCGCCAATATTTTTTTCATAAAGCACTGCTAGGCTGTAGCCTGTGTCACATCCAGACAAACCACAGTTAAGTCCGTCAGATGGACTTAACTGTGGTTCGTCTGGATGTGATGCAGGCTATGCTAGGCAACTTTTAAAAAAATATCAGAAATGATATCCCATAATTTCTGATATATTATATAATATATACTTAAAAATATGAGTCAAAATAATTGTAAATTTCTGCATATTGCTGTATCAATATATAATAATAAAATATAAAGACAATATATATTATAGTGCCATTTTAATACTGCAAAGAGAATGCTCTTCGTATTTTCTTTGTTATTCAGACTTTTATTCCTTTTGGTGATTAGTAAAACAATAAGGACTAATGGCATTACAACAAAGTGTAGGCAAAGCTTTCTTGTAGTCATAGATAACTGTAAATAAGCAGTTTCCATGGCAACATAAATGGGAAAAATATGTGATAGGTGACATCATACACCCTTACAAGACACAGTTGTGAAAATATAAGATAAGTTATAACTTCACAAAAAGTAGGTGAAATGTTTCACCTACTTTTTACGGTGTTAAAATCTATTTTATCTTGTTCCAYAACTGTTTCTTTAGAAACACTGACGCAGCTCATACTAGTTTACCACTAGTTTCCATCATCCTTACAAAATTCTAAACCTACAACATGTTTTAGGCATAATACAAGTCGCATACTGTAAATCAACCTTTTAAAAAGAATTCACTGCTTACCTTCTAGTGTGCCTTTCATAACAACCAGGGCGTTGATCTTTGGATTATCATATACTCCCTGACACAATTAACATAACATGTTTATCATTATAACACCTAAAATAACATGATTTAGTGTGTCCACTCTGAGCCTAACAGTTTTCTTGCAAATACCAACAACTTTTCCATTGAATGACAGACCAAACACTCATTATGTTGATATTTGCAGAGGAAGGAAAACACWGTAGATATGATTTAACAATCCTTTTTCAAACTAAAACAAACTCAGTATACAGATAATACCATCACAGTTGCTCTATATTATCCTGCAAGAAAAGTCTCACAGAAACCTAAGGGAGACTCTAAAGAACTGTTGTATAAAATACATTTGAGTCTTTACAGCTGTTGCTACAGTAGGAAACTGTCATCAAGCTGGAAAGTTCTTTCGGTTTTATTAACAGTTTCCTTTTATAACTTGCTCTCAATTTTAGCCATCTAAGCACTGAATGACAAATTCTAATCCTGATATAAATTAGTACTAAACCATTAACAATGTAGCTATTATCCATAACCTTGAACAATGACACAATGAGAATAATAAACAGATCCAGAGTCTCCCTGTGAGTTTTATGCAGGATTATGCTTCATAGGTTCTTATTATTATAATATTAGAAATTGTATTTTTGTAGACTTTTATTTTCTAATTACTAAAAAAGTATTACCTTGATGAATTCCACATAAATAGATCCAGTAAATGGAAGAGCATGTTCATTAATCAGAAGCTGATTGTCTTTGATAGTAAAAGCAATATATTCATCATGGGCTACTGCTCTGCCTACTTTTTCATAAATATCTAAACCTTGGATGACTGGATGAGAGTTTATTGAAACATCGAACACCTACAATATAGAAACAAACAAATTATCRGAATACTTTTTTATTGTTAAGTAAMACAACCTGCAAAAACTATTTAATTAATGCACTAAGCACTAATGAAAATATTCCCTAATTCCATTGTTTTCTTTTGACTATAATTTATAAGATGTTGTTATTGACACTTCAAATATTAAATGTATAACAGTGTAGAGTGATTTTAGATGTATGACWTTGAATATAATGTATTTGGGAGTTTTATTTTGTATTTTTAGTTTTTATATATTTTTGGTAATAACCTGTATGWACAAGGCTGGCTATCAAATGACAAGTAGTTGAATGTGATTGGCTTGTCACCTRWGACTCCCGTGTTTCTATGGACCGAATTTGAATTTCAAAGACAACGCTGTAAAACAACCAAGGAACGATTTCTCTAATAATATGTTGTCAGCCAAATCTCGGTGCAAAAATGAATTTGTATATTCAAAATTAAAAAGTACTTAGACTTCGAAAGCACACATAAGCTTAAGCTTCCTCCRTCTATTAAAAATCTGCAGATTGATGACTTTAAAAACTTGAAAGAACAAGAAGGTTATAAGTTTTAAATCGACATCAATTGTTTTTAGCAGTAAAGTGACACGAATAAAAATCCTTTTATTTGGAAAATCCTTATTGATCTTGATAAGGACTTAGAACATCAAAGGTCAATTRTTCAACACGTGTAAAAATATAGAATACTTGTCTTTTACCTTGAGACGCGGCGCTTGGAAATATACCTCGCAAAACTTCAAGACTAAAACATATTCTCCATTGTCTTTGATCGGTATTGTGTAGCCAAAATTAGACAAATGATATCGTTCTGTTTGGTAAAGGATTTGATCTGGAGGAGCAACTCTTCCTATTGTAAGCATTTTGCCATAATCTGAAGGGACTCCGATGGTAAGTTGGTCGGCTTGGTAGTGAACGCCGTTCAAATCCGTGTGTGCAGGGCCGCCATTATTAACAGCATAAATCACCTCTCCTGTACTTAAAACCTCTCCTGTTAGAAGTCCAATAATAAGTGCAACAATAAGATCCAAGCAGATGAGCTCCATATTATGTCGTTAGGATAAAAATGATGGTAAAAATACAATGAACAGAGATGCTTGTGTTTGCAGATGCAAAGGGCGACGACTGTGCGGGGACTGGGAATATATTTTTATATGATTGGGCTTCCTGTGGAGTAAAAAAATGAATAAGAAAAAAGTATATAAGAGTGTAATTATGATCATTTTTCCATTATTTTATTTTAGTTAGTGAACCTATCTATTTCAAACATTATGTTGGCCAACTCGAAAGCTAATGCTCCTTTGGCCAATACACTTTCACTCTGTCTCTAACAATTTATTCATTTGTAAATATTTCACCTTGTTTTATTTAATATTCATGTACATACATGTAACGTATAAATTAATGTAAATAAACTGAAATTGAAAAATTGAAATTATGTAGCAATTTTACGCATAAAATAGAACTTTGTATTGTGTCATAAAAAGTAAAGTCTAAAATTCATTGGCAAAAAAGATTTGTTCAATTTTACACAAAAAATAAGTAATAAGAAAAAGCAGAATAAAGAAAATGTAAGTGATGAAATGGAAATAAATAGATCTGAAAAGAAGTGAGACGAAAAAKAAATTAGAACGTACGGAAATAACCAGCGGGGTTCCTGTGGTGTTCCACCCAAACTTCCGAACGAGGCTCAGTTACAAGATTCAAGATGTCGTCCATCAAGGCGTTGAACCCGAAGGCCGAAGTAGCACGCTTTTCAGCTGCTCTAGAAGTAAATATGTCGGCRGCTAAGGGTTTACAAGATGTCCTTAAAACTAATCTTGGACCTAAAGGAACAATGAAAATGTAAGTACCKCKAGAAAAGTAGTTTCAAGGGATTTTAAATTGACCAGAAACACGTGCTTGGTGTGAATTTTTTACCGGCGAACTGTCACTGATTCTTGTGTGAGTATGATCGCTTGTAATAATTCACAGTTTTAGCTATTTTGTACATGAATACAAGCAGTTTGTCGATTTTTGTACGTAACATTGTTTTTTTGTGTGTGTGGATTGATTCAAAAGCTGGATGCATGTACAAGAATTTATCGAAATTTGAAAATAAGCTTAAGTTGAATTGAGTTTTAAAATGAAAATACGAGAATATTTATCACGAGTACTCGTACAATAACTAATACTTATTCTGTCTAAATAGTTTTGCCTTACAAAGTCGAACTACAATGGTCATTTCTTCAATAGTAATACAGTTGTTTTTTCTTAGCTCCCACCCACTATTTTTTGTTTGTATGTATGTTGTTAGGTTGGTGTCTGGATCAGGAGATATTAAATTAACTAAAGATGGAAATGTACTTTTACATGAAATGGTTTGTATTCAATTTTTCAAAAATTTTGCTCAAAATAAACTAAATTCCCCACCCCAACCTCTCCTACATCATTTAATATTCAACAGATAAGATAAGTGATGTCAAGAAAAGTAAACTGCTGAATATAAACTTAAAAATCCTCTCTTCTAAACACAGGATTTCAATTTTAACATTATTTCTCTATATTCACCCTAGAAGATGATTTTTCATCAGTATAAAATCGTATAAAATCTTTTATTTTTTGATTGATATTAAAATATCTTGGGCCTAGTTATATGAAGGATGGATATGGATTCATTCAGTGTATAGCACGATCAACAATACAACATATCCATGATGTACTTTGTTCATGTATTTTAGCAAATTCAACATCCAACAGCATCATTAATAGCAAGAGTTGCCACAGCTCAGGTTTGTACATTTTGTTTATGTTTTTTTTTTTTTCAATTAAAAGTTTGATCACAATTTTTTTATTGTAGGATGATATCACTGGGGATGGAACAACATCAAATGTGTTAATCATCGGAGAGCTCTTAAAACAGGTAACATTGCTGACTTCACTATAGACCTCTTTGCATGTGATTCGCCAGCTTCACCTGGAGGAGAAAACAAAAGATTTTTTCACTCTTGGGAACTATAATCCATTTTTTGTCCTCCAGTTAGAGCTGCATTCCCACAAACTGCAAGGGGTCTATATCATTAGATTCATTATTTGTATAATTTATAGATTATATTTATTTTTGATTTATTTGGCATATATCTATRAAATTACAATTGCCATTGTTTTTATACTATTTATTTAATTGAACTTTATTCTTTTTCTTCTTTACAGGCAGACTTGTATGTATCAGAGGTAAGTTTGTCTACCAGAACAGTAGTATTACAGCTCTTGGCAAAACTCCATAACGTGTTACACTTACAATGTAACTCTTTTAGTGACCCTCTCTAAAACTTTGCCCTTCTGTCATCTGATTAGATGAATAACCATATAAGGAACACTTATTATGGACAAAGTTTTTTCCCCTATATTATTGCTTACATTGATTTTAATTACGGCTTGCATTGTCAGGGTCTACACCCTAGAGTGGTGACTGAAGGTTTTGAAATAGCAAAGAAGAAGTCTTTAGAAGTAAGTGGACATGCAATAGTCATTGCAAAACARAATATTATGCTCCTGAAATACTCCTTGAATATCATGAGATTGGTTTGTTGCTACTGTTGGATTGAAATAAGAGTATTAAAAAAAAATCACAAATAGAAGCATTCAGAAATATCAAAAAATATCTTAGAAAACAGTTCTTGAAAGTCACATTYTTTCACATAAAAAGTGCATGAAAAGTCCTGGAATTTTGTARTGAAAATGGAGCAATAATYCTAGTAATGAATAACGAATTTTGTGTATATTCATGTACTATTTGTATTAAAGGTACTAGAGGAGCTCAAAGTATCCAGAGAAATGGACAGAGATACACTTATGGATGTTGCAAGGACATCTCTGAGAACTAAAGTACATTCAAAGCTTGCTGATTTGCTAACTGAGGTATGCAGTGTTTCAGCCTGATTTATATTGCATATAATACTTAGCAAACTTACATGGAGCTAATCATTTACTTTCTTTCAAGTAGTTAGTGATTTTTGTTTGTTTTTAGGTYGTTGTTGATGCTGTATTGACGATAAGAAAGCCTGGTGTCCCYATTGATCTTCACATGGTTGAGATTATGGAGATGAAACACAAGACAGACTCAGACAGCCAGTAAGAACAATAACAATATAAGATTTCTTAATGGCAGTCATCTTGAATTGCAAAAACAGTGAAATAGTTGAAAGTACATGCTTGATATCTACGGAAGGCAGTGGATTTTATCAAGAATTTTTTCATAAAAACCTTTAACAAGAAAAATCATATTGAATAATAAATAATTAGCTGGAGCCAAAGTGAATGTTTCCAAACTTTGCAAGTTTTCAATACTTACTACTTACAAAGTTTAAGGAGTAAAGTGGTTGGGGTTTCAGTGTAATAAATGTATTCTCCTGTACTTTTGCAAACATTTTAACACCTTAATACACTCAGTGAATTTCTACACACTTAAATCCAGAAATAACAATACCCCTGTTATAATTGTTATGTTATTGTGTATGATCTTGTGTGTGACAAGGGTTAATAATATTTTTTTCTGTTAACCCCTTGTTTAGGTTGGTCAAAGGTCTTGTCATGGACCATGGTGCTAGACATCCTGATATGCCTAAAAAGACCAAAAATGCATTTATCTTGACTTGYAATGTCTCATTTGAATATGAAAAAAGGTTGGGTTCTTGTTCAATATAGTAGAATAATTATGATTATTATGAAGACATTTTCTAAGCCTTTAATKTATATTTGCAGCGAAGTGAATTCTGGCGTCTTCTACAAGACTGCTGAAGAAAGGCAAAAGCTTGCTGCAGCKGAACGAAAATTTACTGATGAAAAAGTCCAAAGGGTAATTGAATTCAAGAAAAAGGTAAGTTTAGATGGATTCTATTTGTTTAATCCTTGGATAAATGAACATCTAGAGTGATAAATCTCATCTAGAGTGTACAGCATTATGTTTATCAGATGAAGATGAATAAAAAAGCGTGTGAAAAACATGTTTAATGCATAGAAAAACTCAAAGCTAGAAATGCTTTCTTGTGCAACTTTACCACATAAAAGACTTTATCTATTTGACATTTTTTTCCAGGTTTGYGATGGTACAGATAAAGGATTTGTTGTGGTTAATCAAAAGGTCAGTGAAGATGTACCAACACATGTGGATAAAAAGTACAATCCAAAGTAAACTCCTGTTAGATTTTMCTCTGATCGTGTGTATTTGTGTCTGTTACTTCTAGGGTATTGATCCATTTTCACTGGATATGCTGGCTAAAGAAGGAATTGTTGCTCTTCGTAGAGCAAAGAGAAGAAATATGGAAAGGTGAGAAAGCACTTGTCAAAAGCATGTTATCACTATTTTGTAGAATTGGTAAATCATTAATTTTATCTTGCTATGTATTGTAGGCAGGCATTGTAGCTTACTAGGTCAGATAGTACTAAGAAGATTTTTCCACATCTTYTATGTCTAGAATGGAATTTGTTTTTACTCTAAAAGTCATTGTTGACTTGATATTCCTAATGTTGAAAACTCAGGATGTTATCATAAGTAAAGTCATTCTATGATGACACTTCCACCTATAACAGACTAAATGTGGCATGATGAAAACCTACTTTTGTCACTACCGCTGAGAATGACTTCACCCATTTGCAATACATAATTTAAGTAAGGCTAAATTTTACCCTTGATAGTTGAACTGTAACTAGAGTTGTGTTTTGTCAGAATACCTCTCGCCTGCGGTGGGATGGCAGTCAATTCAGTTGATGATTTGACCCCWGAGTGTCTTGGATATGCTGGTTTGGTATATGAGCATGTACTTGTAAGTACAAGATGAAATAGTAGTCATTACAGCATTGCTTCATAATATTTCCATTTTTTATCCACAAAAGTAAAAACTGTTTGCCCTACAGGGCCAGGTTGTTCGAAGCTCAATTAGAGTTAATAAACCTATAGAGTTAACCTTGGATAATGCTAATCAAGCTTTAAGCAGCCAAAACCAGTTTATTAGAAACTATAAAACAATTAGTACACCCAATCTGATAGGCAGCCCATTAAAAATTGCTTTGATTTTTTTTGATTTTCACAGGGAGAAGATAAATATACCTTTATTGAAGATGTGAAAAACCCTCAGTCTGTTACTATTGTCATCAAAGGTTTGTGCATTGTATAACCTGTGATATAACAATATTGGGCTGCAGCTCCCACTCTTGGCATAAAAARTTAAYTGTTTTTATTATTTTCAATGTTGTTTAYAACAGATAAAGCRCACTTAGMMCCCCTTAAAAACATTCWGYATCCCCTTAAMATTTTAGCTGGATTCACCGTTGAGTATTACCAATAGTCATTCAATGATTACAATTCCACATATCACAGACGAAATAGTTCTGATGAAAACCTATTTCTGTCACTACCGCTGAGAATGACTTCACAAATTCCAGTGAATTGTTTGACACATAAGGTGCATGACTCCTGATTTGCTGGTTGTGGGTGTGTGATTGTATTGATGGTGAAGTGAGAGTGATGTTASTTTTTGTGATTTGCAGGACCAAACAAACACACTCTTACTCAAATCAAAGATGCTGTCAGGGATGGTCTCAGGGCTGTCAAGA